CTCCGGGAAGAGCACGATAATATCTCTCATTGAAAGGTTTTACGACCCAAGTTCAGGTGAATTGCTTCTTTGCTTATATTTCTTTTCTGAGTTTTATACTTCTACAGGAGAAATTCTCTTGGATGGTTACAACACCAAATCTCTACAATTAAAATGGCTCCGGTCACAGATTGGTCTCGTTAACCAAGAACCAGCTTTGTTCGCTACCACCATCGCGCAAAACATACTTTACGGCAAAGATGATGCGAACATGGAGGAGATAAAGCTAGCTGCCAGGACTTCAAATGCGCACGATTTTATAAATCAGCTTCCTCAAGGCTACGAAACACAGGTGCCTAGGCACTAGTTTTTCAGTGTCTAAACTGCTCGAGTACATTGCAGGTTGGTTCAAGAGGCTTACAACTTTCTGGAGGCCAAAAGCAGAGGATAGCCATAGCTAGAGCATTGGTCAGAAATCCAGCGATACTGTTGTTGGATGAGGCAACCAGTGCTTTAGATGCTGAGTCCGAGAATGTGGTACAAGACGCAGTCGACAAAATCATGGTGGCAAGAACGACAGTTATTATAGCGCACAGGTTGTGTACTCTCAAAGGCACAGATTCCATTGCTGTGCTTCAAAATGGAAGGCTTGTGGAAACCGGATCGCACCAACAGCTTATTGCCGACGAAAAATCTCTATATTCGGGACTCGTTCGGCTTGAGGAAGCCAGAACAACGGAAGCTACCTCAAGGTAAAGTACACACACAGCAATAAGTTTTGAGCTTATTAAGTGAACTATTTCATGCAGGCTTTCTAATTGCTCCTCGAGCAGCTTTCGTAGGTTGTCGAGTGTGGATGATCTAAATTCCAGCACCGGTGGCAGCTTCAGATTGTCAAAACTGAACGGTCTAAGTTTTACCTCAAGGGAAGACGAGGAAAATGTCGAGGCTGATGATGTTCTGAAGAAGTTCGTGACAATCAACTTACCAGATTTGCCGTTCTTGGTTCTTGGTACGATTGGAGCTGTGTGTTCGGGCCTTCCTAATCCGGCGTACTCATTCCTCGTCTCCAAAATTCTCGACGTCTACTACTATCAGGACTTCGAAGAAATGAAACGGCACACAGCAAAGTACAGCGTGGTCTTCGTCATGGTTGCTGTGGGGGCATTTGTTGCCTTTTTTGTACAGTACTACTCATTCGGGATTGCTGGGGAAAACTTGACGATGCGCGTAAGAAAAATGATGCTATCGGGTAAGCATCATCCTCAGTTATGTTCAGTATCATGTCTTACAACCTCTGTGATGCAGGTATTTTACGCAATGAGATAAGCTGGTTTGATCGAGAAGAGCATTCAAGCAGCCAGCTTGCCTCTCGTTTGGCTTCTGATGCCGTGTACATGAAATCTGCAAGTGGAGATATACTAGGTTCAATGGTTCAAAACGTCGCTGTGATAGTTGCTTCGTTCGCCATAGCTTTTTTGGTGGAGTGGCGAGTAGCAATTGTCGTGGCCGCAACTTTTCCGTTTATTGTATTGTCGACCTTTGCGCAGGTGAGCTGGCCTTTTACATTGTTTTGCTTTACTGACACAATGCTCTCCCTTAGAAATTGTTCCTTCAAGGATTGGCTGGAGATCTGGAAAGATCTCATTCTCGGGCAAGCATGCTGGCCGGAGATGCTGTGAGCAATATTCGAACTATAGCAGCATTCAACGCAGAAAAGAAACTCGTCAACTTAGTTACTTTGGAGCTTCAGACCCCGGCTAAACGCAGCTTGTTTCATGGAAGCATTGTGGGACTCGGCTATGGATTCTCGACTCTGTCTCTGTTCGGGTCCTATGGTCTCGGCCTTTGGTACGGTGCCGTCCTCGTCAAAGCAAGCAAATCAAGCCCCGCAAACGTTCTGCAAGCTTTTCTCGTCCTCGTCATGGCGGCATTTCCCATCGCAGACAGTCTAGCAATGCTTCCGGACATTTCCAAGACGGCAAAGTCATTCAAATCAGTGTTTGAGCTGCTGGACAGAGCAACGGAAATGGATTTGGACGGTCCAACGTCACAAAAGCTCATTAAACTCCGCGGTGATATAGAACTCCGAGACATTCACTTTGCATATCCGTCGAGACCCGAGGTAGCTATCTTTGCTGGTCTGAACTTGAAGATTCGAGCTGGACGGAGTTTGGCTTTGGTCGGTCCCAGCGGCTCCGGGAAGAGCTCGGTTATTGCATTGGTGGAAAGGTTCTATGATCCTTTCAAGGGGATGGTTCTCGTGGACGGCAGAGATGTCAAAAAGCTCAACGTCAAGGCGTACAGGCGTCATGTTGGTCTAGTGCAACAAGAACCAGCTCTTTTTGGAACGAGCATTTGCGAGAACATCGCCTACGGAAAAGAGAGTGCTTCGGAAGCTGAGATTGTGGCTGCTGCAAAGGCGGCGAACGCCCACGAGTTTATTAGCAGCCTTCCCGATGGATACGCTACAAACGTTGGTGAGCGAGGTGTCCAACTTTCAGGTACGTCGACAACTTTTGTTTGATTCTAAAACGAAGCACTACGTCATTCATTGATCTCCAGGTGGTCAGAAGCAGCGGGTAGCAATTGCACGAGCCGTTCTCAAAAATCCTGCAATACTATTGCTGGACGAAGCCACGAGTGCTCTAGACGCCGAGTCTGAGAGAACTGTCCAGGAAGCTCTTGAGCGGCTGATGGAGGAGAGAACGACAGTGGTTGTGGCACACAGGCTATCTACGATTTGCAGTGCCGACCAGATTGCCGTGCTGCATGACGGTGAGATTGTGGAGCAGGGAAGGCACTCGGAGCTCGTAGCCAAGCGAGGAGCCTACGCTCAGCTCATCAAGCTCCAGTCATCGTCATAAAGGTTCGCTCGATTTAAATCACCTCACGTTGCATAAATTGTTGTTTTCCTCCACATTAACAGTAGAGACAACAGCTGAACTACCACAGTGTCGTCAGGCCCTTCAGCTGGATCGACAAACAGAAGAAGAAGAACCAAGAGCGCGGAAAGAAATGAGAGAGATTGTCCACGTACAGGGTGGCCAGTGTGGCAACCAGATTGGCGCCGGAAGTGATATGTGACGAGCATGGGATCGAGCCCACGGGAGCTTATCGAATTCGAATACTTCACAGGATATTACAGGACCGGGAAGAAGAACTACACCATCAACACCCTCGAAGAGGCTCACGGGTCACCAAGAGCGGTCCGCATTTACATCTACAAAGACCTCGTAAGGGGCAATGAAATCTTCCTTCGCTGCTGTCTCAACTGGCGGTTGAGGTCATCAAGAATGTATGTTGATGGCCTGATCTTGTCCCTCCTCTGGATATTTAAGCCAATGATGTTAATCGATTCGTCAACTTCAGGAAAAAATGCATTCATGAAGTCCCACTGATGATAGTGGTGAAATTCGTGATGTCTATCACCCGAGCTCAGAATGTTAGATGACAACTATGACCGCGAGAAGGCCCTGATCACCGGCTGTTAAGCCAAGTGTGCTCATGTCCTGCTGGTAAGTCACTCTGATATCGGAGAGTCAAGGAGAGACTGGCTCACTGCAAAGAAGAGAAGTAGATTAAGAAACTAGAATCGCAACAGTGCCTTCACACTCCTTCCAGAGACATCAAAGCTCCAAGAGGAGTACCCAGACAGGATGATGCCGTCCGTGTTCCCGTCCCTGAAGGTGTCGGACACGGTGGTGGAGCCATACAATGCAACGCTGTCTGTGCACTAGCTTGTCGAGAATGCCAAGAAGTGCATGGTTTTGGACAACAAGGCCTTCTATGACATATGTGTCAGAAGTCTCTGCCTCAGAACTCTTCGAATTTCTCAAGTCTCAAGTCTCAAAGGCTTCATCAGCACATCTGCATGGCAAGTAGTCTATGTGGCTGAGACAAGGCTAAACAATTACGTCCAACCCAAAGCTGCATCGCCAATTCTATGAGGGTAGCATCATTATCAATTTCTTTGCATCCCATGGTTAATAAAGTATAATAATGGTAGTGGATAGTATTAAAATATACTTAAATATTTTAGGATATTTTACCATTTAATGGTTATTATTCATTTAGATTTTTTATATTTATTTTATAAATTATTTTATAATTTATAAACTTTCCCATATTTTACTATCTAATAATTGATATACCATAAAATTTTGGAATAAGTATATTGATTTAGGTTTAGACCCATACTTATATACAAAAATGGATAGACAATCAATATTTAGTCCCAAATAAATTATCCATATGCCATAATATTATGATTAATTTATTATATAGATGCGGTAATATATGTATATATATTTATAAATTTTACATCATTCTTCCTTTTGTAAGATGAAAAGTGTTAAGTGGAACATTTAGAGCTATAGTAAAGTGATTATAAAGTGCCACAAGAACTTGAAACTCTTGCAAAACTATTTATATAATTGTTAACAATCATGATATAAACAAAACCCAAAGCCATGGCATAAACATAAGTTAGCTATGAAATTTTGATGAACCAATTATAACTCTATATACAATTACTAAATGCTTAAATCAACCTTGAAACTATAATTTTGAATAAAAGTAAAAGATTTTAATCCATAAAACACCATTATAGCAAATGATATATCCATCCATCCTTCAAGACCATTGTTAATGTAGACTCACAACCATTAGCAAAACTTGTATTTATATCTTCCTTTTAGTTAACTTTTGAGATATATGTTAACTTGAATCTACAATTTTTGTTCTCATCTAATACCACATATAGGAAGTTAAACTCATTCCATCTGTTTTCCATATCCTCCTTATCCTCTCTTTGGAGGAGTGCTTATTACTTATTAATATAATTGATCAAATTGGAAGTTTATAATTTGAAACATGTTAATAATTTATAAATATAAATTAATCTTATCACATATTAACCATCAGATAAAAATAAACTAGAACATACTAAAAATTATTTAGAAATTTTTAAAATTATAAATACAAGATGTGAGTGATCGAGATATAGAAATAGGTATTTTAATTGGGGTTTAGACCCTGTTTATATACAAGAATGGATAGACCAAATTCAATCCCAAATGGACGGTAAATATGTTATAATACTATAATTAGTGTATTACTTAACTGGAGTAATACATATATATAAATATATGTATTTACAAACCATACACTATCCTCCCCTTCGGAAGATAAAAAGGTGGTGATAATAAGTTAGGTGGAATATCTTGAGCTTCTATTGAGCAATTATAAATTACTATAAGAATCTAAAGTTCTCACAAAACCATCAATAAAATTGCTGATAACCATGATTAAAATAAAACCCAGAGCCATAACATAAGCATTAGTTGACTACAGAATCCTGATAAATTAGTTGAAACTCCAAATACAATTCCTAAATATTTAAACCAACCACATAACCATAATTTTAAATTGAAACAAAGGACTTTAAAAGCCACTATAATCCATAAAGTGCTATTATAATAAACAATACATCCCATTTCTAAGTCTATATATTGATAATCTTCCAAGTCTACTATTAACTCGCACTTAAGACCATAAGTAGAGCCATCTTGATCCAACACCACACATGGGAGATCAAACTCACTCTATTCATCCTTTACATCTTCTTTTTCCCCTTTTTAAGGGAAATTTTTTTTTGAAGCATTGACTCCATTTGGATTTATTGCACTCATCCTCATTCTGCCATCTATGTTTGGCCTCACTCCATTATCGCATCTATTCGGCCTCACTACATCGGGGTTAAATATTCTATTCGGAATTGTTATATTTGTCCTCACTCCACAATTTATGTCGTTCGTTCTTGCTCCACTACTATATTCACTTGTTCTCATTCCATCGTCAAGGTTGGACTCTTGTCTGTCCTCTCTACCCCCTCCTCTAAAGAAAAAAAAGTTTGAAGTATTAGAGCAGAAAGAAGAAAACAAGAAAAATGAGCAAAAACAATTATAGAAGAAGAAAATGTGGATAAAGAACTATTAGAAAAAGAATTTGTAACAGTTAGCAATGCAAAAATGGGGAAATCAAAAGGACATATGCTTAAAGCTTGGAAAAATACTTTAGCCACCACAATATAAACAAAAGATTCACAGCAATAGTAAAACAAAATCTCTTAGTAGCACTCACAAGTGGGGACATATATACAACTTGAAACTCTAACCAAAGTGACTCAACCCTTGGAACAAAAGAATGATTAAAGACTTTGCCAATGAAATAAAAAGCAAGATTCTCAACTTTATAGACACACTTAACATTCAGATTAGTATGAAGAGGATAAAAAACACTCAACTCAACATTGGATTGAGAATGAAAATCATGAGAGTTTCAAATGATTAACGTATTAAGAGAAGAAAACATTATAAATGAGGAAGAAATACTAAGAACATAAAAAGGTGGCTGAAACTGAAAAATAAAAAAAAAAGTTAGGAAAGAGCAAAAGGGAAATAGAAAAGATCAGATGGTAGATTAAAAAATTGACACCTACCTCACAAAATCTCCACTTCATCTTCAAAACTATCTCCATCAAGCTCATCATCACACTTTGGAATTCATTTGATCTTGTGCACATTGGCGTCCTATAAACTTGATCGTCGAACATTCTCCAAGAATTAAACTGCATCATTTATAACTTGCTAATCAATATCACGATGACACTCCATATTAATAGAAAATGGCAGAACACCAAGAACAAAACAAACTGTGTAATTATATCCCATGGAAACTGAAGATGGCAACACACTAAGGATGGGCACAATACTAACATGATCACACTCTATAGCACCAAAAGTTTGATCTAACAGAGTAACAACCTTAAATGACATACTCTTTGATTGATGATGGCATAACATGGTGGAAGAAGAGAATGCAATGAAGATTAAAAGAAAAAAAATAATCTAAGCACAACAATAACTAAAATTCTAAATCTTGCAAAAATCTAATACATAATTAAATCTAAAAAAAAATGAAGAAATAAAAATAAATAAGCATGATCCTAAACACTAAAGCAAAGCACTACTAAAAAACTTTGCCCTTCAGGGATAAATTACAATGCCTTTCACCTTCACCAATATGAGTGTTTGGGATAAAAGAATAAGTATCTTAATTAGGGTTTAAACCTTTACTTATATACAAGAATGGATAGACCAAATTTATTCCTAAATGGATGGTCTATATGCTATAGTATTATAATTAATGTATTATCTAGTTAGGGTAATAAATATATATACATATATGTATTTACAAACTTTACAAAGAGTTAATTTAAATGAATAATAACTGTTAAATGATAAAATATCCCAAAATAATCCATTACCTTTACAATTTTGCATGGGATAATTTCTATTTAACATTCTAAAGTATAAAATAATTTGTTACACATTGCATGTAGCAACATTTGGTTTGCTTAATAATAGTGTTATTCCTACTTATTAATCCAATTGATCAAATAAAATTTTATAAGTATAAACATGTTTATAATTTTTAAACACAATATTGATTTTATTGCATATCAACCATTAGATGGTAGAATAAAAAAGAATATACTAGAAAGTGCTTAAGAAAGTTTATAAATTATAAATACAAGATTAATCTGAATGAATAACAATCATTAAATGGTACTATATCCTAGAATATCCAAGTATATTTTAGATATATTTACAGCTTTGCTTAAGCAAAAAAATAGTAGAGTTAAACCATGATTTAGTTATTTAAAAAGATGCAATTACATAAAGATAAACCATATTTTTCTTTAATGATTATATGCTAAAACAAAATTTGATGAAAGTTCAAAATCTATTATTATACTCTATTCTAAATAACCATATTCACAAATGTATGATGAGTATTTATTTGACTTCATATCAATTTCCCTTTTCACAAAATTTTAGAATTCTTAATAGATTCACAAAGTAATTGATTAAATTAATATATTAAGAAATATTTATATTTTTTCAAAAATTAAGAAATTACAAAGTTAATAAAACCCATTCGCCAAAAGCTTTAGAGAATTCTTCTGGAAGAGAGTTGTTCGATCGTTCTTCTTTTTCTTGAGCTAGAACGCTCTTTCTTTTTTAATCGTTCCATACATCTAGATAGCAATGAGTAGCAGGAATGTAAATGACAAGTGTAACTGGAAATGCCAGTGGCTCCAAATCTTTAGGGCTCAATGGCGATGGGCTCATCCTTGGCGCCGCTCCACAAGCTCTTCTTCTGTGCCGATCGATGCAACCACTTGCTCATGGCGGCGCCATCGCGCACGGCCTGGCGCTGCCGATTTTCTTCTTCTCCTTTGGACGATTGGCTCATGTTCTTGGATCGGACAAGGATCTTCGGCACATGTATCACAGCGTGATATTTCGAGCCGGATTTCATGATCGTGCTGTGCTGCTCGCGATCGATCAGGTGGCATTGGATTTCCTGTGTCCTCTTTGGCAGGTCTTGGATAGGTAGAGGGATTTTGTTCTTGAGACATTTGAAGGGATTCTTGGCTCTGGATGTTGCGTGCTGGATCCAGACCGGAGAGCAGCAATGCAGGAAGATCAGGATCGGCGGCACGATATCTCGTTCTTCGATGGTGCCGATGCGAGAACTGGAGAGCTCGTTAGCAGCATTTCCTCCAACACTTTGGTCATTCAGCAGGCCATAAGCGAGAAAGTGAGTTCTCTCTCTTTTGCTTTCACAGATGGGAGTCCTCATTCATCACAATTCCACGTTTTTTGGATGGGATTTGCAACTGTGTGGCAGCTCGGACTTTTGAGGCTGGCAACCGTACCGGTGGTCATTCTGGCTGGAGGTCTCTATGCTCATGTCATCACTGGCGTTTCATCCAGGAGCCAGAAGGAACATCAGTACGTAGACTTCCAGACCAAATCTTTTTAATCGAAAGTACCTACATTGAATTGACTTGCAGGCAATTTCTCAAATTCGGAGAGTCTGTTCGTTCCTTGGCGAGCAAACAACGATCGGTCTGTACACCATTGCTCTCGGTTCCACGCTACGTCTGGGATCGGGCAGGACGTGCCAAAGGGATTGGAATGGGAGCAATGTACGCGTTGCCCCTCTGTTCCTAGGCCTTACTGATGTGGTACGGTGGCATTCTCGTAAGAAACGGCACGACAAATGCTCTATCTACAAGATTTTGCGTGCTCTTAGGCGCCTTGTAAGTTACTGTTATCGATTATGTTTTGAGTTCTGATGCTAAACGTTTTTCTCATAGTGCGAAACTTTAGACGACGATCAGTAACAGTGAAGAGTCAACGGAATTTCGTCTTCAACACGTCCATGGAGTGCTTGAGCTGTATAAAGTTACTTCCAACTATTCCTCCAGGCCAGATGCTCGTGTTCTTCACGACCTGAGCCTCAGGATACCGCCTGGAAATCGATAGCCATTGTTGGCCCCAGTGGTTCTGGGAAGAGCACGATTATATCTCTCATTGAAAGGTTTTACGACCCAACTTCAGGTGAATTGCTTCTTTGCTTATATTTCTTTTCTGAGTTTTATACTTCTACAGGAGAAATTCTCTTGGATGGTTACAACACCAAATCTCTACAATTAAAATGGCTCCTGTCACAGATTGGTCTCGTTAACCAAGAACCAGCTTTGTTCGCTACCACCATCGCGCAAAACGTACTTTACGGCAAAGATGATGCGAACATGGAGGAGATAAAGCTGGCTGCCAGGACTTCAAATGCGCACGATTTTATAAATCAGCTTCCTCAAGACTACGAAACACAGGTGCCTAGACACTATTTTTTCAGTGTCTGAACTGCTCAAGTACATTGCAGGTTGGTTCAAGAGGCGTACAACTTTCTGGAGGCCAAAAGCAGAGGATAGCCATAGCTAGAGCATTGGTCAGAAATCCAGCGATACTGTTGTTGGATGAGGCAACCAGTGCTTTAGATGCTGAGTCCGAGAATGTGGTACAAAACGCACTCACAAAATCATGGTGGCAAGAACGACAGTTATTATAGCACACAGGTTGTGTACTGTCAAAGGCACAGATTCCATTGCTGTGCTTCAAAATGGAAGGTTTGTGGAAACCGGATCGCACCAACGTCTTATGGCCGAAGCCACGAGTGCTCTAGACGCCGAGTTCGAGGGAATTGTCCAGGAAGCTCTTGAGGGGCTGATGGAGGAGAGAACGACAGTGGTTGTGGCACACAGGCTATCTACGATTTGCAGTGCCGACCAGATTGCCGTGCTGCATGACGGTGAGATTGTGGAGCAGGGAAGGCACTCGGAGCTCGTAGCCAGGCGAGGAGCCTACTCTCAGCTTATCGTTTTAAAGGTTCGCTCGATTTAAATCACCTCACTTTCTCACATGGTTACATACAGGTTGGTTATACGCAAATAAAACAGTTAAGGCAATAAGAGAAAACTGTTACTCGGGGTAGTTTTTCTCTGGTGACAACGACATTAACGGTATAGACCAACAGCTGAACTACCGCAGTGTCGTCAGGTCCTTCAGCTGGATCGAAGCAAACAGAAGAAATGAGAGAGATTGTCCACGTACAGGGAGGCCAGTGTGGTAACCAGATTGGCGCCAAGTTCTGGGAAGTGATATGTGACGAGCATGGGATCGAGCCCACGGGATTTTATCACGGAGAGTCCGACCTCCAACTGGAGCGAGTGAACGTCTACTTCAACGAAGCCAGTGCCGGACGTTACGTGCCTCGAGCGATTCTCATGGACTTGGAGCCTGGGACAATGGACAGCGTTCGGTCGGGGCCGTATGGACAGATATTCCGGCCTGATAACTTCGTCTTCGGCCAGACGGGAGCCGGGAACAACTGGGCCAAAGGCCGGGGATCCTC